TGAAATCGATTTTAGAATACCCTTCTAATATATTTGCAGATCATTTCCATATCGCGGAATACTCCTGACTGTAATATTAAACCCGTAAATACCAATTAAAATACTATATTTCATGATGCTGAATTTACCGAGGACGACTGTTACCAATAAAAGCTTTCATTTCTTTATCTAGCAAGCAAGATACATCACAAGTATTTGTTCACAGATATTTGTTACACGAATTAACTGAAATACTAATATAAATATAAGTCAATTAATCAAAAATTGATAAAATTGATCAACTTATACAATCCTTTTTATATTTCCGGAGAAATGTTAAAGTGCTCCAAATAAATTAATTAGTGTTATTCTAACCATGAAAATAAAGTTTTGGCGCACTAACAATTCGCAAGAGCAACAAGAACAACGTAAATCATTAGCGCATTCATTATAAATAAAGCCGTTTTTACAATAGAAACTGTTGCGACTTACTCGGTTTTTAATCCATAAAATATGTATTTCCTTCGCTCCGCTCCTTTTTTATTCGCCATTACTCTCATTTTCTTCCTAACCATAACTACCGCAAATGAAGACCAAATTAATCTCGACAAACGTGGCGTAAAACATCATAAACGTCATAAACGTCATAAACACCATAAACACCATAAACAACATAAGCATCACCTAATTCATCATAAATTTCATTATAATCACAGACCTTCTCACCGTATAAAGTATCACCCCAAACCCATCAAGCAGCATATCGAACAACCAAAACCCAAACCCATCGAGCATCATAAAGATTTACCAAAACCCAAACTCATCGAGCATCATAAAGATTTACCAAAACCCAAACTTATCGAGCATCATAAAGATTTACCTAAACCCAAACTTATCGAGCATCATAAAGATTTACCTAAACCCAAATCAATAAAGCAGCAGCATGAAGATTCTAAACATTTTGATAATTCTAATTATCATAAAGATGTCACACCTTCTAAACCCAAATCAATAAAGCAACATGAAGATCCTAAACGTTTTGATTATTCTAATTATCCTAAAGATATCACACCTTCTAAGCATTATAATGATCCTAAGTTTTCTAATAATCATAAAGTCTTAGATCATTCTAATGATTATGAACATCCGAACAATCATAAACCTATTGTGCCTCCTGAACATAAAACCGCTAAATATTCTGAAATAGCAAAGCATTCAGCTCCCACCAATGCTTATCACCAAAAGCCTATTAATACCAAGAAATCAGCACCCACTAGTGCTTATTACCAAAAGCCTGTTACTACCAAGAAATTAGCACCTATCAAGAAATCAGCACCTACCAGTAATCATCACCAAAAACCTGTTTATACCAAGATATCAGCATCTACCAATAATCATCACCAAACGCCTGTTACTACCAAGAAATCAGCACCTACCAGTAATCATCACCAAAAGCCCGCTACTACCAATAATCATCACCAAAAGCCTGTTACCAGCAATAATCACCAAAAGCCTGTTACTACCAAAAAATCAGCACCTACCAGTAATCATCACCAAAAGCCTGTTACTACCAAGAAATCAGCACCTACCAGTAATCATCACCAAAAGCCTGTTACTACCAAGAAATCAGCACCTACCAGCAATCATCACCAAAAGCCTGTTACTACCAAGAAATCAGCACCTACCAGTAATCGTCACCAAAAGCCTGTTTCTACCAAGAAATCAGCACCTACCAGTAATCATCACCAAAAGCCTGTTTCTACCAAGAAATCAGCACCTACCAGTAATCATCACCAAAAGCCTGTTACTACCAGTAATCATCACCAAAAGATTGTTACTACCAAGAAATCAGTGCATACCAGTAACTATCACCAAAAGCCGGTTACTACTAAGAAATCAGCGCCAACCAGTACTTATCACCAAAAGCATGTTACTACAAAGAAATCAGCACCTACTACTAAAATCACCAAACAAAAATCCGCTACCGCTAATATTAAATCTACCCACCACAAATCCGC